AAACAAACAAAACCCATACCAACATCCAAAAACATTATTTTAATTTTTTCATCAAAATGAAGTGATGTTGTTCATTAAATAGCAAACATATATCCTCAAAATGCAATAATACATAAACTTTCTATAAGATTGTATAAATATCATGGTATATGCATATAACTATGTATGTTAGTTGAGTATTTATTTGTATCACTATTAGTGATTTGCTATCTATTAATATGTTTATGGTTTTCATGCATATATTTTATCTTTTTAATCAGAACATGAACTGTAGTTTGATATCAGAGTGTCTTCAAAAATATTTGATATTCTTTCATTTGACTAGTGACTTAAGATATGCTTACATAAGCATTTTGTTTAAAAGTTTTAGAAATATTTTGTAAATTTCATATCTTTATTCAACTCTTCTGAAATTTTATCAAATATCAGTTGTACAGGAAAATCACTGATAGTTGTATCAAAATTATTTTTGCAGCTTCATTTCATTCAGTTTTGGTTTTCAGTGTGAATTTCTTTTTTTTTAGTAAACAAAAGTCTGTAATATTTTTGAAACAGACTTATGTGCCATTTTGGGCAAAGTATTACAGCAGATCTTGAAAAAGGAAGGTCAATCCCTGTAATGTAAAAAAGGTTTCTTGGGAACATTCTATTCTAGAACTTGATGTTTTAAACACAGCATTTTCTATGAATGTGCCACTCTAAATGTCTACTGGTATTAAGGAAATGTCTGTTGGTGCCGAAGTAACTGCACCTGTGTTTTAATATTGCCAGATTAAATCCAGTATACCCCACATCTTGTTGGGTTGTTCCTTAAAATTTTAACTCAGTGAAAACAGATCATTCCAGTGAATTATGCCTGAGCAGTGCTTAGCAAGCAGATGTATACATCTATGTATATTATTGTACACTGCATAAAATAGCATACTATGTTATCATGCCACGCATGCCCTATGATCTTGTCAGGACTTATGAAAGGTATTTTATGAATGTGAGACATAAAGAAGGACAGTCTAGGTGCTGTATGCTGCTCTGGAAGTGATTTAGCAGGTGGTTAGTTCATTATGTTAAGAAAGTACCACTGTTATTATAGGGAGCTGTGAGACATTATGCATTGCTGACTTATTGTTTGGATGAAACATAAACCTAAGATTGAGTTTCATTGCAATTGTCACAGATTACATGGTAGTTTTAGCAGGAGTAAGAGTGCTGAGCCCTGTACCCTAACCAAACTCCAGATGAATTGGTTAGAGTCTACTATTGCAAGAAAATACATCCATGGGGTTTCTCACTTTGTAACCTATTGCACAGTGCTGCTTTTCTCTGTAAAAAGGTGTAATGTGTCACAGGTTGCAACCCCCTTAGAAAGCAGTGCTTTGTACATAAATGCGAGAGACCATTACTAAAGTGTGTTTCCATAAAGAACCTGTTAGTGATAGGTACCTTGAGACAGGTGAACAAGGAGGATCCTAAATCATAGCACTGTGTAAAAGGTAGCAGCTATAATTAATACAGAATAAATCTTAAGACCTCAGTAACTGATGTTTCTTCTACTGATGTTTATTTATATATATATATATGTATTTAAACCTTGATGTTTATTCATAACACAACAGTGTATGTGTTATGAATCACGTAATTAGTTAATTAGGTCCAAGGTTTCTAGAATGCCAAGACAGGAGCACTGATCTCCGCTTCCATCAGCAGAGAGCAGTTGGGTGGCATTTAGTCTTCTCTTGAGAGTAATTCTGCTTGTCCTCAGGACCCTCTGCGCATTCCTTCCAGGCAGCCCTGTGGGTTCATGCTCAAAGACTGAAAGGTGAAAGAGATGAGGAGAAAATCTTTCAGAAATCTAACAGAAGCAACCTAATAGACAGTCAAAGTGCAGTGAGGCAAGAGCAGCACAGTGCTTGAAGGGGCCCTGGTACGTGAAGGTAAATGGCCTTCTAGTTTGTCGTAAGATCCAGTAATTTAGGAGGCCAAACTTCCATTTTGTGGCAGTCATGGGAAAATAAACTGTATCCCAGAAGAAGAACAAGAAGGAAACTCTCTGAGTAAAAAGTATTGGCCTGTTATCCCTGTCAGTCCAGCACAGAAGAATATTACTCGAGGAGAATAATAAGAGAGAAGAGATAGACCCAGGGGGAAGGCAAATAGCGAGGCATATAAAGAATGTACAAGATCCCCATAACTGATGTTATTAGCCTGATGCTGCCAATTTCGTACTCAAACTGGTAGCTTAAACGTCATAACTATGCATCAGTGGTGGCATTTATTAAAACCTCGTCACTAAGATTTAAACTCCTGGTCTTAGGACTCATTTAAATGGTCATAACTATGGGTAGGCAGAGGCTTTGATCCTCTTCTCTAGCACTTTGAGTCTCACTCCATGGCTGATTGCTGGTGAGTTGAGAGGAAAATTCTACCTGGTGCCATGCACATACCATATCAACACCACCCAGAATGAGAAGTTAGGTGGCATTTGCTTATATTTCTTTCCAGTCTACTGCAGGACACTTGTCCTACCTATATTAAATAAAAGTTTCAGACATTTTTCTGTTTCTCTCTTTCTCGGACTTGCAGGCACATATCCTAGTTTTAAAATTGGGATGTGTGCCCTGCATGTAAACCCTTGTTCACTCTCTAAGCTTTGAATATGAGTAATGAGAAACTGTACATAGTATCGACAATCCCTAAGTCTTTTCAGCTACCCGGGGAGATGCTTTTCTATTCATATGCCATGACTCTTCAGAGTTGAGAAGACAAAAATGAAGCATGCGTAACAAGAGGAGGGTAAAAACATCAGGGTTTTGTTCCTCTAAAGCAGTTTGCTGTATTCACAAAATAATATTTATAACCTTGTCCAGGTTAAAGTTTGACAGTTTTTGCAGATGTTATAACTTTCTAGCAAGGAAGCTGCAAAATTATATATATCATTTTTACAACATCATAGATTGGAGTAGAATTACGAGCGATCAAGTGTCCTGAGAAGTGAGCTCTGAATGCAAGAAGTATATATCAGCATTTACTCCATAACATAACTCAACACTGAATCTATCCATCCACCTTGTCATATCAGCACCTGCCATGAGGGAAAAGAGATCTCGAGCAAGCAAGCAAGACATCACAAATAAACGTATTTGTCAGGGTAGGGCCCCCTTAGACAGTGGTGTTATGCTCAATGCCTGAAGTTGTTACGTTAGAATAAAAGGAGGAAATACTTGGGGTGCATTAAAAGTGTTTTTAAAATACCTGTGTATTCTGGTGAACCTGACAGCAGCATCTATTGTTTAGATTGTCTCAAATTGTTAACCATGTGATTGTTTCTGAACTATTAACTGTTAGTGTTGAAATGTTCTCATTGCTGGACATGGCCCCAGGCAAGTTTCTGTAGACAAAGCACCATCGTTTCTGAGAGCAAGGCTATGGAGAAAATACATTAGGCCAATGATAAAACCTCTTATAGCTCTCTATTTGAAAAGAAATTGTGTTACCATGAGGTGGAGATGGTACTTTACATTTGCCCAGCAGGCTACAGAGTATCAGAAAGCTCTTACATATGTAAAAAACCCCATAATAATAAAAAAATAAAAATCCCAGATTATTAGATTCAATACTTGTAGATTGCATGTAATCTCTTGGAGTTTGTTAAACTATAACAACAAACCCCTTGTATCACTTTGAGCATTACTTCAGCATATAGTTGCAGAGATTAAGGAACAATTTTTGCACAGCTGATCTTTTGCCTGCTGGAGGTCACAAAAAGAAGATAAAAGAGATACTTCAGGTTCATTTCCAGGACTCCCGTTGCTACAGAGACAGGGAGATGGAGAAGAACCTAGAAGCAGGAAAGTCAGCTATTGAAAAGTTGAGAAATGTCAGGAACTTAAAACTGGCCAGCAGGTATTCACACTGTGTAGTTTAGCCTGTCTGCTGGAGGAATTTTTGTGCTCTTCATCTTATTTAATATGTAGCAATTGTGCTTCTGGTAGCAGGTCTGCTGCACACCTTGTTACAGATTTCTCAGCGAAAATGTAAGAATGACAGGATCCTGCCTTGTTCTCAATTTCTGTCGTTGGCTGCTGCCAGGTTAGCCCATGGTCTAGAGCATTTTTTTCCTATGCAAAGGTCCCTCCTAATGTATTAGAGTGCAAGGCCTCTTTGGGACAACATGGCATAACTATTCATGTCATCAGCAGCTTTTATCAACTGTATATGCCCATTTATTGAATGTGTTACTTCCTCTTCCCCTCCTCCCTTAATATTTGGCCTAAAGAAGCTTAATACTTGGTGTAAAAATACTTCAGAGATGCAGCCCCTAACAAGTAGTGTGATTGTACGTACAATTAAGGTATTTTTGTTAGTATTATGCTCTTTTCTGTTTTTCTTAATGCCTCACTTCCTCAAATTATGTGAATACAATAGTATCTCAAACATTCTCTCTTCTGAAATAAGCTTTTGGTTCTTCTGAGACTGAAAAAAATCAGAAGAGTTAAGAAGCTTAAACCCAAACTATGATTTTTTTAAAATTTATTTAATGAAATAGCATGGGGTTTTGTACAGTTATTGAACTCAATGGTTTCATAACACTGTTTTAGATATACTTAGGGTAAGGAGAGACTGTCAAACTTGTGTGATCTGAATTTGTACTCTGTACTGGATACAGTGTATTTTCATTAGAGGGCCTGTGAAACTTGAATTTGTTCTCCATTCATCCGGAAGACCCTTATTCTAACAGAGATCATGGAGAACATTGCATTGCATTGACCAGGAGGTCCTAAAGCCCGTACTGAAGGGACACCCAAGGGACTGCAGGAGGCCCGCTTTGGGTCAGGAAGCCGCCTGTCCTTGTCCCCGTGGTGCTGAGGCATCCCCACCAACATGAGGGTGATTGCTTCTGGGTGGAAGTGGGAACTCCAGAGGGTACCACAGGTTGTGCCTTTTGATTTTAATGAAGTGCTTCTGTGCTAGTGTGTCACTGTGCTTGCAGTGCGGTGGTGTCCATGGTCTGGCCGTGGGAGGGCTGCAAAGGTCGTACGTGGTCAGCTTGGGCAGCGAAGCAGCCCCTGGAGGGATCCAGAATCAGAGTTTCTGGCAGTACACCTAGTTTTGATCAGGATGCGTGCAGACTGTCAGCAAAAGTGGACTATCTTGTGAGGTAAGCTGTGGGAATGAAGATGGAGAGGACTGTGCTGTGTGGAGCCTTCCTCACCATCTCTAGGCTATGTATAGCCCCAGGCATTTAATGTAAACTAATCCTGCTGCTTTGCTGAATCAGGGACTTCATGACGTGATGCTACAAATCAGGAAAGAGAGGTTACTTCTTCCATTTGTTTGAGCTGGACAGGATACTCTTGTCTTGACAGTATCAAGTCTATTGATCAAAGGGCTGTGTGTTTATTGGTGGTGGTGGAGGGCATGAATTTCTTGTATGGAGTTATGCAGTTCTTTAAGCATGTATCCTTACAGGCTGTATTATTAATATGCATGCTTTTACATTTTCAAACATAACTAGCTGTATTGATTAGTGAGTTATATAAATGGAAGAAAATAGTAAACTAAATTGAAGAGCTACCTCATTCATCTCTGGACTCTAGAATGCTGGTGAAATTTCCTTCCTTCAAACAGCGCTGAGGAGCCCTTTCCCAAGGGCTGAACTGCCCAGCACAGTGGGATCATCTTGGCCCCAGCAGCCCTCACACAGAAGAGCTGCCATTGTACTGGTAACTACCAGATCTTCTGGTTTTGGCTCTGTGGGCTGGAAACCTAAATCTCAGCATATAAACAGATTCCTCCCAAGCTAAAAAGAAACTTTTCAAATCAAATTACACATTTAGTGTCAATATCCAGCAGATTTACATCAACTATAATATTTTAAAAGAGAAGCCTATAAATAATATTCAGAGTCCCTAACATTTTCATTAACAAAATTGACACTACTTATCAGCATTTTAATATACTAATTGGCTATGTGCTGTCTTCATTTCCACTTTGAGTGCTGTAAGGCAATGTTTCTCAGTTATGAATTGAGGATTGTTGCTAGTCTGTAAGATATCAAGGAGTGATTCATGAAATTATTGCAAAACCACCATATATGCAGATGTACAATTGAAGAAAATAGAGAAAATAAGTTAAAAAAAAAAAAGATAATGTTGACATTTTAGCATGTTTTTCAGGCTAAGAGATTAGATTGTCTTTTATTTAAAAAAAACAGAAAATACTCTTTTTTTTTGTGGTAGTCCAGAGGATGGATTAATGTCAAGGACTCAGGGACAAATACTCGGAGGATCAAAAACTCCTGGCAGGTTCTGAACACTCTCCACACTGGCAAGTGCTGTGACAGCTGAGGGTACCCAGAGCTGATGATTTGAAGTTCTCTATTAATCATATTATAGTCTCTGATATCTGCTATTGTGTTAAAATATTCCTTTGAATAAATTATTGGGATTTTATGTCCTGTAATCCTGAATGTGCCATTGATGCTGAAGGCAGGAAGAGGCACTGATGTGGAATTTTCAAACCCCCATGCTGACCAAGGAGCACATGCCCTACCGAAAGGCAGCGGCACTTCTGTTATGGAAACATTCTTCTTAGAATTACACCACAAGATTACGTTAGCTAATAAATGTAGTTTAGATTGTAAACCAGTGGTGGCTCCAATGCATTTTATCTTGGGTGGAAAATGTGCATGTATTTACATGAGTGTGCATGTACACATTCAAAAAACACACCAAAAGTCAAATAGAACAATATCATAGAATATAAGTGGGTATAGGCTATTCCTTATTAAGAGAATGCTAATAAGGTGCAATATCTAGTCGTTATACATTGGAAAGTAGAAAAAATAGCTGTTACTTTCAAAAGACTTTGTGACTTTGTCCTATGTACTCCTTTCCATGTTCAGCCCAAGGTGCCACATCTTTGTCTCTGCAAGGTTGGGGTTAGCCAGTAAAATTCTCCAAAGGTTACTCTGCAGGTTTGCAAATACACATGAACTTCGCAATGCCTTTAAGCATTAGTTTAAAAAAAAAAAAAAAAAAAGAAAATCTGCTATGTATTGTAACATGTTAGAACTTCCTATGAGCTGCCTTCATTGTTTCTTCCTTGCATGCTATTTCCTTTGGGTTATGCTGCTACTGCATGTCATTGATAGTGACATGCAGTAGCTATGACAGGAGGACAAAGAAAGATTTCAGCGAGGTTATTAAGTTCTGGTGGGGATGGACCCCATTATCCTCAATATAAAAGCCACCCTTACTGAATTCCCGAAAATAAAATAATTTTGGAAGCATTTAAAGATGTCCTCTTGAGCTGAAATGCCTATTAGTCTTCTGATGTGTTTGCTGTTGGTTGCTAACCATTAATGCCACAAGTTAAGAAACACATTTATTTTTAACCTCTCTGTGCTTCAGTGACTCCTGTGCAACAATTTTTCTGGCCTTTGAAAGCTATGTCAAAGCCAGTTCTCTCCTCTTTTTATGGCACAGAGAACGTGGGAGCTGCATGGCTTGCTAAGGATCTTCAAGTTTGAAAAAAATTTCGTTCTGTAAGAGAAGCCAAATAATTTTCTTGTCCTACTGGTCATGTTAAAGCTTAATGAAATTTGTGGCAACTGGGTGGGTTTTCAGGAAACGGAAGGATTTTCAGTAGCTGTTGGGATATATGAATACCTTTGGTAAGGCTAGTACTGTTCCGGCGCACTGAGGCCTTATACAGTTGGCTGATTGTTAAAGGTTTTGGCGATGTACCCTGCACAGGAAACAATCCCATCCCCCCACAGATGCTCTTCTCTGTTTCCTCATAAGAATGTAATAAATGACCATAGTGGATCACACCAGACATCTTTCTGGCTCAGTATCCAGTCTTCAGCAGCCAGTGGTAGTAGAAGCCTAGATAAGAGTCAAAGGACATCTCCAGAAAGCAATCATACTCCTCCAGGAAACAATCCCAGCATCGAGGAATCTGTGGCTCAGGTAATTCCTGAGTCAGAGATATGGTATCTTTGTAAATTATAGCCCCTGATGTTTTTCCATTAGTTAGCCCAGTGACTTTTCAAACCTATGTAACCTTTTCCTCTCTCCGTAATCCTCTGACAAAAAATACCACAGTTTAGACATAAGTGAAAATGTTTTCCTTTTGTTTGTTCTGAGCTTGTCCTGTGGTCATTTCATCATGGACATGACAGTCCTACTTCTTAACTAATGAAAAGTATGAAGTGTTTTCTCTTCGCCTTCTTCACTCCATGCATCTTTTACACATACCTCTATCCTATCTTGCCCGAGGTGTCTTTTCTCCAGGATGGAGAATTTTGTCTGTTTACTTGATCCTCATGAAGAAGTCATGGTATACCTTCAACTACCTTTGCTGTTCTTTTTAGCACCTTTCCATATCTGCAGTGTTGTTTTTACACAGATAGACAAGAAGGACTCAATATTTGAGGTATGAATACACTGAATTTAATGCATGACATTACCTTGTTTTCTGCGTAGTTTGTTTCTAATATTGTTTCTGTTAGTTTGACAGCACTGACCATTGGATTTGCCATCTTAGAGAACTTTTCAGCTTCAAAACCCTTTCCTAAGTGGTAACATCTAGTTCTTTAAGAGCCTCTGCCAATATTGTATAAAGTTAGAAATGTGTTCCCCCAAGTATATCACATAATTTTGCTGACAGTGAATTTCATCTGCCATTTTTTAACTGCTCAGTCATTGTCATGAGACCCTTCAGTTATACTACCTTCAATAACCAGCAAATTCTGTTACTTTCCCCTCTACAGTTTTTAGAGGCTATTTCTGAACATTCAGAGCATCCAGTGATACCTCTGGGATTTTGCTAATGGCAAAAATGGATCTAGATAGATTGGAGCATTGGGCAATGATTAATGGGAAGAAATTTAACAAGTCAAAATGGAGGATTCTGCACCTAGGATGGAGTAATGCCGGGCACAAGTATAAACTGGGAGAGGAGTGGCTGGCGAGCAGCCCTGCAGAAAGGGATCTGGGGGTGCTGGCTGACAGCAGGCTCAATATGAGCCAGCAGTGTGCCCTGGCAGTCGAGAGGGCAAACTGCATCCTGGGGTGATCAAACAGAGTATAACCAGCCGGTCAAAAGAGGTGATTATCCCGCTGTATTCAGCGTTGGTGCAGCCTCACCTTGAACACTGTGTGCAGTTCTGGGCCCCACAATTTAAGAAGGATGTGAAGGTCCTTGAATGTGTCCAGAGGAGGGCAACAAAGCTGGTGAAAGGGCTGGAAGGAATGTCCTATGTGGAGCGGCTAAGGAGTTTGGGCTTGTCTAGTTTGGAGAAAAGGAGGCTGAGAAGCGACCTCATTGCTCTCTACAGCTCCCTGAGGAGGGGAAGTGGAGAGGGAGGTGCTGGTCTCTTCTCCCTGATGTCCAGTGACAGGACACGTGGGAATGGTTCAAAGCTGCGCCAGGAGAGGTTTAGACTGGGCATTAGGAAGCATTTCTTTACCGAGAGGGTGGTCAAACACTGGAACAGGCTTCCTAGAGAGGTGGTAGATGCCGCAAGTCTGTCAGTGTTTAACAGGCATTTGGACAATGCCTTCAATAACATGCTTTAACTTGGTCTGCCCTGAACTGGTCAGGCAGTTGGACTAGATGATTGTTATAGGTCCCGTCCAACTGAAATAGTCTATTCTTTTCTATTCTATTCTATTCTGTTCTGTTCTATTCTATTCTATTCTATTCTATTCTATTCTAATTTCATTGAGAAAACTGACCATTTATCCCTACTTTTAGTTTCCTATTTTTCAGCCTGATACCAATCCTCGTGAGGAGCTCTCTTATTCTGCACCGTCGTCCTCTTTAGCCACCTTTGGTAAGGGAAATTTCTAAAAGCCTATTGGAATCCCAGTGAACTGTGCAATCTGCCTCCAGTTTTTCCATATGCTCAGTGACTGCCTCAAAGAAATCTAAGAGATTTGTAAGGCAGGGTTTTTTTCAGCAAAAACCTCATCAGCTCTATCTCCTTACATTGTTACAGGTATTGTATGTGTCTAACAGTCTCCCTTTTATAAGTCTAACATTTTGTCTGGCATGAACATCGGATCTACACATGAAGTCAGTTTAAGAAAGAACTAACACAATCTTTCCCTCAGATGAAGCTGGCAGCAAATCATAGGGCTTCCTCCTCAGCTTCAGAAGGAGGCGAAATAGGGTGGCTACGTGCACAGCCATCTCCACTTCTGTAGGTTATCAGCTGGAGGCTTACTGATGCTGCCCTTCCTCTATGTCTTTTTACACTTGTGCTTTAGGCTGGCCACTGCTATACAAGGTCAGCATGACACACAGCCGTAATGGTGGTGTCGGCAGAGGTATTTAGTTGTCCCATTCACGCACCGTTAGGCTGACACCCAATGCCTTTGAGCACACTGCTGATATAGAGTGGAGGTAGGAAGCCCTCAGTGAAATCTAGGGCTGATGGTCAGACCCTATGGTCACAACACACCCGGGCATTACAGACCTTTATAACCACTATTTGCTATCCTGTCTCACCACCTCCTGCCTTCATAACAAGAAACCCTAATTGTCATCAGGGTATTGAATTTTCCTGAACACCTTCAAATGAAATAGCTTTCTTTGAATTTAGATTATTTCTCAAACATTACTTTCTATCGCTGCCAAGTGTTAAAAGAAGACTGGAAACAGCATAGACGGGCAGCAATGAAGCTTTTGGCAGGAGCTTTTCTTCAAAAACTTGTTTCTATGTGAATGGTAATCAAGAAAAAAAAAAGTTTGTGCCTGAAATCCTGCTACTCTCTTACCTTTGAGACCTGCATTTTCAAAAAGTTGATGGCAGGGGACTGTACATTTTCTTTTGCTGCTACTCCAGCCTGATCCCTCTGCAGTAGTGACCTCTACACTTATTTTGCCTTTCAATGTCTTAAAATTTAGTTTTCTGTGCAGTCATTCACACTGAACCCTGAAAAGAAGATACATATATATTTATAATGATAAAAGAGAAAGAATTTCTTGACTGTTACGGGCTTCTGATATTTTATTAGCCAAGTCTACATTCACCCTCACCCTTACGGGTCTCCCTGTGGTAGCTCTGAGCTCTGCTGATCTCCTAGACAAATGATGGAAACATCTGACTTAGAGCCTTTTAGAATCAAAGAAGATTGAGAGGGAAAAGACCTGCTAGGTCATTTTGTCCATCCCCTGCCAATACAGGATCATGACCTACTGTACAATAACTTCACTAATGTTTTGCCAAGTCTCAATTTAAACGAATCAAATGATGGGGATTATATCACTTTCTTTGGGACAATATATCCCTGTTGCTTCATATTCTCTACGAAGAATTGTTATGATATTCTACTTAATATTCTCAATATCACCATAATTACAAGGATAACTTATTTTCTTCTTGTAACAATTGTTTCTTTCTTGGTGTTCATATTTTTCATATATATCATGTTAAAAACACTGTATTTGTCACACAATTCTTCCCAGCTTTCTTCATAACTCAGCTCCTAAGTCCCTTATCAATGTTTGGCGTTTGCCTTCATTTAATTTCCCTCCACTTAATTCATCTTTCTGGTATAGGCTGCTCAAAAAGTTATGTATTGCTCATTAGATTATTCTAGATGTGATTCTCAGGTGTTAATGTTCTACAGCAAGGCTTTTGCCTGAGTCATAACGTGATGTGTCTGGATATGTAATTCCAAATCTCCTGGGTGTCCCCGTTTATAGCTCAATGCAGCTCTCTGACCAGTTCTCATTCTTGTCTTTTATGGCACCAATATACCTTTTACACGCTGCTGAAATTCTATTTTAGTGAATCATCCTTCCAATTCTCAAGTAAGCCCACTTGTTCATTATCGTCATCATTTAATATTCTAACTCATCCTACTTATTTCCCTATGCACTTTTGTAAAATATAAAACTTTTTTTTGCAGAATTTCTGTATCTTATGTTTTAGTCAAACTGGAAATAATAATAGAAAGAAAAAAGCCAGACTTTGAGTTACATAAACCATATTGAATTTTTAAAAATCAATTTAATTTTTTCTGGAGCTGCAAAGACTAAGCAGCTATCAACATTAATACACATTTATTGCTTGGCATTGCTACAGATCAGAGTTAAGTTTCTTTGGATAAACTCACTGGATATTTCCAAACCATTATATATTTACCTTTCATTTCGACATAACATTCATGCAAAATTCCTATGAGGTTTTTTTACTCTTAAATAACTCATATGTACTTTTAATTTTAACACATCTTTCAATTTTTGTTTTCCATTGGAATTCTTTGACTTGTTGGTCTGACTAGAAAATTTTTAAAGCCTCAAACTATCAACAAAAATAAAAATATGAAAAAGATATTACATGATTATTTTTTAACTGCTACTTCTTGGTCAGATCTGAAGAAAGAAGCATGGGAAGAGACAAACTGTATTTTAAATGGCCACAGAAATTAAGTAGAATTAACTTTGTTTAGCTATTTGTAAGCTACTGTGCAAATCATTCATATAAATTAAGTTGGATTTCACTTTCAAAATATTAATTGAACTTACTTTTTACTCTTTTAATTGCAAAATTGCTGATGTAAATGAAACTTATAAATGGAAATATACTTGAAGTTTCTATATGTCTTTTACACATAACACTTGTATATGTGACTCTCCTCCTCCTCCCCCACTAATATAACTAAGGGATCATAAGCATGCATTCCTTAATAAACACAAATTCCTTCACTGTCAAAAATTGCTCCAGGCAAAAAGCTGGCAAGCAAAGAGTTAACAAAAAGGTCAACGAAATGTGAAGAAATCTGGTCCTCAATGTGTACAAAAATAATATTTGTGGTTTTAGATGTCTTTTATGTTTCTATTGCTCAAAAATAGATTTTTTTTTGATTGAACATTTTCAGCCTTCCATTGACTGAAATAGATGACCGCCTTAGGGCATTTTTGAAGGGGAAAACTAAAAGAAAAATGACTAAATTCCTTTGTTCAGAACTGCTGCTCTGCATATCCAGTAAATTTTTTAATACAAAGACATACCAGTCAATGGGGAGTTTTTCTTGCAAAAGGACTGCAAGATCAGCTTCTTAGTATGCAAGTGTGACCACCAAACAGGGATGATAAGACTGCAGTGACCAGGAAGGGGCACTTACAGCCATCTTCTCAGTTTTCATGTTTCAGAACACTGCAGCTATTCACATTGGAGCAGTTTGACCAAAACAGGAGAGACGGCCAGCGAGGGAAAGAAGAGAAACCCTTCACACTGCAAACCAGCTAGGAAACAATGCTAGCTAGTCCCATGGTTGAGGCAGCCTGGCACTCAGACGCAAGAACAAGGTGACCTTCCTGGAACATGGGAAGATTCAGTTTTTGCTGAGCTTTAGGATGGAGCTGACTATGCACATACCTGCAAAGCAGGTAGTTAATCCAGGCACAATGGATCAAAGGCTGTATACAAAAGGACTAACCATTTACTCTTTGTGGCTAAGGAACAACATTAGCAGTTAGGAGATACGGCACATTTCTGTTCTTACTTTATTTTTGAATCAGCACAGATGAGTTAGCTAAACTGTTCCTCAGCTTTCCCTCTTGCTTGTATCTATTAGAAGAGGCTGCTGTGAGAAGTGGTGCTGTAGTTTTTGTGATGTATTTACATCAGAGCCTCAGCTGAAGATGCTCTGAAAGAGCAAAGCCAGATCCTTGTCCTGACATTTATTCTGGACACTCAAGCAGTGCTCTATGCAGAATTGCAGGGGTCAACATTACTGGAATAAGTTTTAGAAGTGATGTTTACTTTGTGAGCAAAAAGAAGAGGGGATGTTAGAGTGTTAAAACTTACATTTTTATTCAATTACAGTTATCCCCTCTTTAGTGCATATTAGCCAGTAAGAAATACATTGAAAAAGCCTTGATCAAAGGGAAGAATCTACAAGGCTTTCTTCTCCATTGCTGCTGCTGGCACTACCAAAAATGTTCTGTGTAATGTTTTAAAATTTTTGTTATGTTCTTGGATATGTATTGACATCTTAGCTCAGAACAGCTATTTAATGGCTATTGTAATTTAACAGGTTCATAAAATGCATATTTAAAAAGACCCTAAGCAGGCATTCGCTCAACAGGGGAAGGAATTTGAAGCACCAGAAACATAAAACACATTTTAAAAGGTCCTGTTGATATACATTGAAACATTGGCTAAATTAATAAATCCCAGTTTATTAGACTAGACTAGACTAGACTAGGCTAGAACAGAACCGAACAGTTCAGTTGGAAGGGACCTGCAATGATCCTCTAGTCCAACTGCCTGACCACTTCAGGGCTGAAGTTGGTTGGTTTATTTTTTATGGCATTGAAACTGAAGAGGGACTTAAATGGCATCATGAAGGGTTTCTACAGGTAGATCAACAGCAAAATGCAGACTAAGGAAAAAGCAAAATCCTGCCTGACCAACCTGATAGGCTTCTACAGTGAGATGACGAGCTCAGTAGATAAGGGGAGAGCAATGGATGTTATTTAGCTTGACTTTAAGAAGGCCTTTGAAGCTGTCTCCTATAGCATCATCACAGACAAACTGACAAAGTATTGACTAGACAGTGGATGGTGAAGTAAATGGAAAATTGGCTGAAGTGCTGAGCTCAAAGTGTGTTCAACATCACAAAGACTATCTGGAGACCGATAACTAGTGATGTCTCTCAGGGGTCAATATTGGGTCCAATATTGCTTAAAATCTACATTCATAACCTAAATGATGGGCAGAGTGTAAGTTTGCAGACAACAGAGAATCAGGAGGACTGGTTGCTATACCAGATGATTGTGCTGCTCTTCAGAGGGACAATGGGGAGAAATGGGGTAACA